ATATATATATGAACTGTGACAACAAAACAGACGTATAAAGCATTCCTGTATAATTGTATAATTCCGTAAATGCAACTTTCAAACGCGTATTTTTAGTTTCTTTACCTCCTATTGCTATAAATATTTATGAGCAAACAAATGAGTTAAGTTTAGCTCTCAGCAGTGGAAAGCCAGCGCACTAAAAGCCACGCTATAATGAAATAATTAAAAGACAGTTTTACCTGAGATTCAGTGGCTCAGACGCGCGCCTGTAATTAAAGTTATAAAACGAACTTACTGCACGAGCTCTCGGACCTCCGCACCTCCCAGCTCCACAGTCCGGGGAAAGGTACTGCAGCCTCTCTGCCACGCAGCCCTGTCTGCCTCGGATAAGGGGGAAGCCGGCAGCTGCGAGTCCGGACAGTTAAGATTATATATGATGAGTATATATCGAAGGTTTGTCAGCTCTTCCAGGCCATAAAACCCACTTAAATGACACCACGTGGTTCCCGAGCACCATTCACAGGCCCTGCTTTGGGGCGATTGACACATGTAACCTTGTAAACTTTGAAAATACCCTTAAAAAGAAAAGACATTCAAAAAGGGACTGAATGCATCGTATAGGTTAGGCCTAGCAGAGCGCAGGGACAGTGGCTGCGTTGACCGCTTCAAATAGGGAGCTCAATATGAACCTGTTAGCTCGAGAGGTGAGTTGATTTCTTTTCATTTCTTTAAGGAGCGCTAGAACGAGGAATTACCTCATAACCTTGGGCTAAACTGCGTCATACGTCCCACTGAAGCTGCTTTCAGACCCAAGTGGGTGTATTCCCTCTATAAATGCTGCATTAACTACAATGTAATGGTGATTAAACTGGCCAGGTGGCCTTTTAGCTGCAGAAATGGAAGCCAAAGTTTTGCGTCCTCTCAGTGTTGTTCTAACAGGCTGGTGTGGCCCTTCCTTCCCCGACAAAACAGGAAGCAGAGCGTGTGTTCCTGTGGAGAGGTGGAAAAGGGCTAATAAAGTTTTATGGCGGGGCCCTTAACTTTAGAGCGCTTTTGTCAGCCTGAGAAAAATCTGGCGACTCTGAATCAAAAACATAACCAAAGCAAGCAACTTATTTTATCAATGGAAACAATTGCAGAGAGAAAATAATAATAATTAAAAGTCAGACTAATGTTTTGCATCTGTTCACGTGTGAAAGAAACGAGAGCAGAACTTTTCCTGTTAATAACTTTATTGGTTACAATCAGCAAACAGGCCGTCTGTCAGTTATTCTGAGCCACCAAGGCTCCTTCAGTTTACACAGGGTCATTGCACATTACACACACTGAATTAAACAGGATGATCCAGATTCACAAGACGCACAACATGGATGATGCCTTCACACAGCGCACCGCATCCTGACTGCAACTGGCGTTCAAAAGAAATTTAACAAGGGGAGATTTGTTGGATTAATTGAATTCATATAGCTTATAAGAATTTTAAACAGAGCAGGGAATGGCCCAGAAGTTATCCTACCACATATTAATAATATTATCCAGATTTTCAGATGCGGACCCATCTTCCCCTTCAGCCTCCTGCTTCCCCCATTTTACGCACTAAAGTGGGGTTATCATCGCATAGGAAGGCAAATTAATTTAAAAATGTAAACCGATTGATCAAAGTGAGTGATATTCAATACATTAGGTCCCAAACAGCAGCAAGTGACACATAATTGGTGATGAAGCACACAGAGCGGTGTCATGATGTCATTGCTCCCAGCGGTTCATCCGAAGGTCAGGCGGCGGCACTCCTCTGCGCAGTGCATGTTGGGGGGCTGCTCACAGGGTCCGCACTTTTCTTTTTTCTTTTTTTTTTTTTTTTTACTCCTTTACTTTAATCTTTGAGTCCTTCTTCCACTTCATCCGTCTATTCTGGAACCAGATTTTGATCTGCCTCTCGTTTAGACACAGAGTGTTGGCGATCTCTACGCGCCTGCGGCGGCTCAGGTAGCGGTTGAAGTGAAACTCTTTCTCCAGCTCCAGAGTCTGGTAGCGGGTGTAACTGGTCCGGGAGCGCTTACCCTCCGATTCTGAAGCAGTATTAGAATAATCAGCTTTCAGCAACATTAAACGTGACAGAGAAACATGACTAACGAGCTAAATATGGCTGCGTCATATAAAACATGCTAAAACACACAGCAAACATTGAAAAAGCAATAGTTTATTCAGTGCTAGGCCCCTTATAGCCAGTGTTTAAATATCAAATATTTGTGTACAATTTGATTTTACTTGTGTAAATTTGCTAAATAAATCAAATGATGCTGATGGTGTGAAGTTATTTATTCACATTCGTTATTAAACTTGATTTGAATTCACATCTCCATTGCGCACACACACAAAAATAAAAAAAAATATGAACAAATTATGTTTACTTTGAAATGTAAAAAAAAAGATTTTAATTCAAACGTGAGCCTCTTTGTAAAAACAGTATCGGTCAGAAACAACTTTACAGCAAATTAAAGATATTTTAAATCGTGGAAGTGCAAATATAAATAAAGAAAGTAAACAATTAAAAAAAAAACGCACAAACTGATGGTTTCCAGCTATTTTCTTATTTATGGACATGCACAGACTTGCTAAGTCAAACAACAGGGCCTGTGCTGCTGGAAGTAAATTATTTTAACATTCCTGCTGTGCGCTTCTGCACATTTGCAAAAATGCAAGAACAGAAAACAAGTTTTACAGCTTTCGTCTTCTTTTCTTTCTTTCTTTCTGCTTCAGCCCATGCTGCAGTCTAAATAGTGACCCAGTGGTTTGAAGGCATGAACAAGGAGCATGCCTATTCAAATCTTTTCGAGGTGAAAAGTTCATGATTGGGTCAGGGCACTGGTGTGTCCCAGAGTTCAATTAAAGGCTAAAAGCTTCTCTTTTTCTTCTTCCGCAGCGAGCCTGCTCGTCTAAAACGTGCAGTTTGTAAATGAAGCAAGAAAATAACTACCACTAAGAGCAGGATTTCAAATATTAGTCCATAGTTATTTCATAGTTTTGCTCTCTTATCCAATTATACCACCATAAATCACGGCACAGATCACCTCTTCACCGTAACAGAGCAGGTTTACGAGCAATAGATGCCTTTGTCATAAAATTTATGGCCGCGAGTTTTTATTATTTCCTGCTTTTGGCCTATAAAACTCAAGAGGGACACTGGAACGAGCGAAAAGAAGTGTTGCCGTGTTAAGAGTGAATAAGGGAAAGCATCTTATTCGCGCTCTGAGAGGGAGAAAAGAAGCAGGCAAACTTTACCGTGGCTCATGTGCAGCTTTGTCATCCATGGATAAATTTGCGGCCGCTGCTCACTGTCCTGACGCTGGTTTGCGTTTCTTCTCACTGTTTGCGCGTTCTCTACGTTTTTGTCGCTCTCCTGGCTCCTGTTTCCGCCATATTTTGCGCTCCTTTCCGGGTCTCTGTCGGCCCCGCGTCCCACCAGCGCGCCGCAGCCGTAGTTCATTCCGCCTGCGTCCCCGGACGAGCCGCCGGACATCATGGTTATCTGTGGTCCCGGCGGGAGATGAGTATCCGCGCTGCCACGCAGGCTAGTTTTCATCTCCTCCCGCTCCACAGAGGTCGAGGGGACGGGGCAGGAGTAAATCCCGTTCACATTAACACCCTCATAGTGGCTGGACCTGCGCCCAGATAGATCGAAAGTAAACATGCTGTTGGGAGAAGTTGTCTCGTTTGTTTGCCTGAGAGTAGAGCTTTCAACATAAGAGCTCATTTTCAAAAAGCGACACTAAACTCGACAGGGCTGCGGGGTTAGTGTTGCGGGTATTTCCTTGTTTTTGTTGATCATTACTTTTCTTTCTTCTTAGGAAAATTCACAGATGTCTGTTCTAAAAAAAAAATAATCCAGGATTTATAGGTGGAGTAGGCTTTGGTATCTTTTTTTCCCTTTCTTTTTCTTGATCCGGCGCGCGTTGCCCAAATATGGGGTATTTGTGTGCGATCACGTGCACATGTTGGCCAGTCATAAATTGGCTTGATACTCAATGGGGATATTGATGAATAGGAGAAACGTGTCCGGTAAACTTTGAGCTGTTGGTTGTTGGGGATCAGCCAAGGATCTTTGGCGCAAGAAAGGGCAGGACAGTAAGACAAGAGCGTCATCTGGTGTCTGGAATGGAGCAGGACGGGCAGAACCGAGCAGAACCGCGTGCCAGGGACGCGCTTTGGGTCCATCATTAACCGCACGCCACCGGTTCATAATAAGAATAATAAATATCATAAGGATTTCATATTCTGGCTTAAAGAGCAACTGTATCAATTTGGAAAAGTTACGTGAATTTATTCAGATTCAGTTAAACAAAAAACTAATTTTCATTGGATTAAAATGCCAAATTGAGTCCAAAAGTTGGGATCAAAGTGGTCCCAGTTTCTTTAGCATTTATTCTCCAGAATATTTGCACCATTTGGTGCCACAAAAGCTCATTGTGAAACTAAAAAGTGCTCTCAAACGGTTACTTTTGCGCAGCTTGGATGCGTAACTGCTGTGCGTCAAAAGACGAGAAAAGGATGAAAGTTTTACAAAGATTTTTATTTCATGATGATACACAGCAAGGACAAAAACATGACATCATAACTCTCAAACAAAAGTGAAGTGTGTACAAATATATCTCACAAGAAAAAAAAAACGGTGTCAAATGATAAAAAAAAAAGTGGGGAAAGGCATGGGGCTTTTTTTTCCAATACGCAGCGCCTCAAACAAAGCGGCTAAATGCGCATGAGTTGCATAATATATACTGTTGCTTTTATTATATACAGTCGTTTTAGCTGTTTGTTTGTGAGTGGACTGGACACTAATTCGGGCCACATTTGCTGCGGATTATTCAAGTAGTTTTCAAGTGTCCTTTCCTCATAGTGCCGTGGAATGTGCATGTACAATAATGAGCTAAACCAACACTGTGTTCGGTGAGGTGATCATAGAGTTCACAGTGACGAATTGAGTAAATACACACTTTTCTTGGGAGGTGAGTTAGCCAAGAAAATAATACTTCTTTTTTATTTTTTCACAAATACATGTGAGACATCACAAATATAACAATAACAATAATATTAACAATAACAACAAAAAGAGCTCAAAGCTGCAAATGCCATAGGGCTGAAATAATTTGGATACAGGGCTCCACACTCAATATGGAATAAAGACCAGCGAGGGTAGCCATCATGCAGTGAAGTCGCTCTCAAGTCCATTTTTAGGTAGTTGTGTTGGGTATTTTTTTATGCTCGTGAGGTGATTTTTCTTCTTCTCTCCCCTCGTTTATTTTTCCACTATTCTTTCTTCTTGTCTTCATTCTTGTCGTCTTCCGCTGCGCCACTGCGTTCCTCCTCCTGAGAGGCTGCTGTCTGTTCACTTCCAGTCACCGTAGAGGTCAGGTTGCTCTCCTTCTTCCACTTCATGCGCCGGTTCTGGAACCAGATCTTGATCTGGCGCTCGGTTAGACAGAGCGCGTTGGCGATCTCGATGCGTCTGCGCCTGGTCAGGTAACGGTTGAAGTGGAACTCCTTCTCCAGCTCCAGGGTTTGGTAACGAGAGTAGATCTGACGTCCTCTGCGTCTGTCCGTCCCGTAGCCCACTCCTGCTGGAATAGAGAGCAAAGATGCTCATTTATTAAACATAAACGCGCTGATCATAAACTCTAAAATGTTGGGGGGGGGAACTTTAATATGCACATTTTAGCTGCTCAAATTCAATTAATCTCCAGGGACATCTTTGTCTTATTAATACAAAATTATGAAAACGTCCTTATTTCATTGTCCCTGTCTCCTGTTGCCGATTATAGCCACTACATCTCAGTTAAAATGAAAGCTGTTTGTTTGCACATGCTAAGGCCCATCTAAGTCGAGCAGATACAGTAATGTTTTATGGGGGGCCATAAAAAGTAACTTGCTCTCTTGGTAAGACATATCGTAAAATTGGCCCATTTCCCTAATTTATTTGTCGTAGTAAAACTCACCGCTGTGTGAGTTCATGCGCTGCATCCACGGGTAGATCGGGATGTTGCTTTTCTGCTCCTGGGCTCCTGCTCTCCCCTGATCCAGGCTGTACTCTTGAGCCATGTGGCTCTGTGAGTTGAGTCCCATGTTTGTTTGCCTGCAGCTGGGCAGCACGTCCTTGTCCTGCAGGAACACGTTGGATCCGTACTCATACTGAGCCCTGCCGGAGCCAAAAACCACGTTTTCTTGAGGGGAGTAGAAAGGTGCATAAATCCGATTCTGGGTCACCGCGGCGCCGTACGACGAAAAATGTCTGACTGTGTCATAGGTGGTGGAGTTCAGGGGGACGTTGGGCAAAACCTCTTGACCACCGGATAAATGGCAGGAGAGCGACGGGTTTGCGAAATAAGAATTCATACCTTGCGTGTAACCCTGAGTCCAACTCTCCCCACTTCTTTATCGGTCTCTCTTTTTTTTTTTCTTCTTCTTCCAATCTCCTTCTCTGTAAATCTCCCTCCCGCCTGTGTCAAACAACCACACCTTTCTCCAGGATCTGCTGTTTTTTTCTCTCCTCCTTGACTTTTCCTTGCCTCTCCAAGTGGACGCGGGGCCACTTTGAGGATTGAATATTATTAATTTCCAATCTCCGGTTAAGACGCAAAAAACCCCGAGTGTTATAGCCGAGGCTTGGCTCGGTGAGAGACAATATGACTGTGTCAGCTGACCGTTCTCAACCAATTGAGACGCCCGGAGTTGAGGCGAAACTGTAGCTTTTAGCTCAGCCATGGAACATTAGTGCTAAATGCCGATAAACACAACGTGGAGTTGCGCATGCACCGTGTCCAGCTCTGATAGGAAGTTTGTTTGTTTGTTTGTGTTGTGGCGTGAAGTTTAAGAGCATGCTCAGGAGGAGGAGAGGAGAGCAAAGAAAGTCGTTTAGTGAAAGGAAACAGAAAATATGAACTAATGTGATAAACAAAATAACACAGAGGAGTCATGCACACCTTTCACTTTGAAGTTAGTGTTGTGGTTTGCTCTGAGAGTGTGTGTGTGTGTGTGTGTGTGTGTGAGAGAGAGAGAGAGAGAGAGAGAGAGAGAGAGAGAGAGAGAGAGAGAGAGAAAGAGAGAGAGTGTGTGTGTGTGTGTTCAGGTTAAAATATAAAATAACAAGAGGCCATCAGATCAACACAAACACTGGGCATTAATTGACAGATCAATGATCTTCCAACAAACTGTTAATGTTTCTTTTGTTTATATAATAACGGGCAGGCATGCGAGCACCTCGCGGGGGAGGGGGGGGTGTTGTGTGTGTGTGTGTCTGTGAGTGTGTGTGTGTGTGTGTGTGTGTGTGTGTAGCTGGTAAGAATGCGTTTATGGTCTCCCTTTCTGTGAGGGCAATAAAACAAGTGACGTTCCCCAGCTCACCAACAACTGTCTCTGCAGCAAAGCTTCAGAGGGGAAGGCAAAGGGAGGGAATGCAGGGGGGGGGGGGGGGGGCATCATGCAGGTAACGCGACTGGTTATGAACTATATAGTTCCATTAGACAAATGATCATTTTTTAAATAATCACAAGCAAATACATCCACAGTCCGGCAGCTTGATTTGAGCGTGCATGTTTTTTTAAACTTATAGCATTAAGCAACAATTAAAAAGATATTTTTAACATAAAAGAAGATCAACCACAAAGCCATATGATCCTCATACACGTGTTCCTGTTTTGTTGTATTGTTCTAATCTTACCTCGACATTCCTCTGACACACAGAGGAAACAGGAACCGATAATTATCTCTGCAGCAAATTATGGCTTTTTGGAAATTATACTTCAAAGGGTGTTTTTTGCGCAATTCTAAGAAAACTTTTAGCTCCTCTCAAGACAATGAGGACTGAGTTCAATTCTCGACAAAAATCCCACAACATTATTGAGCACTCAGTTTTATTTTCCAAAGCAAACGAAGCTCGTTTTCTAAAAAAAATCTTCCATCTTCAATTTAAAGGCTTTTAAACTTAAATGGAAAATAAAACTTCGTGCATGCACTTGAAACGACAAGTCACATTAACTCCCCGTTATGCAACAAGCCATAAGAAATATCAATAAAAGAATCGATATTGTTAGTGAAATGTCTGCTGAAAGTCGCCGTGGCTCTGCTGCAGCCCGGTGGTTCTGCGCATTGATTTCCACAATGGGATGAATGCGTGCAGCCTAAACGTGCACTGCTTGCTCTCTTGTTTGGGATCTTGAAAAAAGACCCATAAAAGAGACTAGAACAAAGAGGAGGAAGTGGCTGGTGCAATAAAAGTTTCCCTGCACCTCTTCGTGCCTAAATGTGACATCCGCAGCGCACAGAATCCACGCAGAAAGACTTTATGTTTTTATTCTTCTTTTATTAATCCACGTTATAGTTTAATTACATCTAATCCGTTGGTGACAGTGTTACAGGAAAACGAACAGGATTATTATAATTTATTATATTTATATGTAAGTGAAGACAACTTTGGCAACTAAAGTCCACATTTGGCGCACATTAAATTTACCTCTTAACCTGCAACCTCAAACATAAATATGAATAGCATCCTTAAAAAATACGCAGCTTCATGGTCCAAGTGTCTTTATTTTTTATACTCACATTTATGGGTTTGATTTTAAACGCATTGGGTGTTATTCATTTGTTTATTTAAGGGATAAAAATTGTTTTGACGCATTTGGTTTACCAAAAAAAAAAAAAACACTTTAAAGTGTGGAAAAATAGAAAAAACATTTAGGAATAAATCCTCTGCTGCAACGCTTTGAATTAACTGTTTTACCAGACCTAGTTTTTTTTTCTCTTCTTATTGTTGCTCTCACACACAAACAGGAAAGACGCGCTGCTCCATAAAGCTGAGGCTGTAAATAAAAGGGCTGAACAGTGGAGCCCAATGTGTGGAGAGGAGAGGAATGCAGCAGAGGTTGTGTCAGTGTGCAGAATCAGAAAGGTCATTCTTTCCCCCCGTGTTTTACTGCTTTATTGCTGCCCGTGAGGCAAATGACACGCACGGCTGTTCACGCACGAAGGGAGGAAACCGTTTGGCACACAGTTACATGATTTTTATTTTGTTATCATTTCTTTGTACAAGAAATATCTTGACCAAAGAATATACAAGAAAAATCCAAAATTAGAAGTGCATAACTTATAACGGATGTCATATTTGTTAATATAAATAATAAATTGGGTAAACTATCAGTTGACGCACACAGTTTTTTTATAATAATAATAATAATAATAATAATGTTGCTCCTGTTCTTGTAAATTTTAAAAATAAAAAAAACTACATTGAGACCTTAATTAGTAGATGTGCTCATTTTAGGCCCAAATTAAGCAGCAGCTCAGGGCCCGTCCTGTGAGTGGCTTCTTGTTTAAAACCCAGCACTGGACGTCACAACATAACTCAGTCTGAGTTCTACTGGACCTGTAAAACTCCTACATTATCGGCCATCATTAAAAACACAGCGAGTGAAGCAGAGTGTGCTCAGCCCCTCATGTTTTTCCTCCTCCCTGCATCTAATAAGGAGTTATTCACATACTAACCATGTAAAGCTCCTCTATAAGCACTTTACCATGGCTGGCATGGTCCAATTAATGTCCGGAAGTGTTCGACTTGATGCTCGTTAGGCACTCAGGAAGCTGTTGCCCAATGAGCACATGTTGATCCGCACATCATAAATTATGACCATTAGTTGGTAAAAAAAAAAAGAAAATTCGCCCTGTCGGGGTTTGAAAGTGAGGTTTTAAATGTGGTGATGAGGACAGATGCGTGACTTTATGTAGTTTTACGCGAGCTTCTAAAACACCACAGAGCTAAACAATGGACTGTGGCTTTTTATTTATTTTAAACTAAGATTTACCTAAATGGCATCCATTAAATGTATCTCTTTCTCCATGCAGGCAGCGCCGGACAGCTGCGGACTGTCTGATCCACTGCAGGGGCTTCAGAAGACAAACAGCGAGTGGAACAGTAGGTTATGAGACTTTAAAGACGTCCATAAAAGAGGCTTGAGCCAATAATTAAATTTTAAAAGATTGAAACGTGGAACTGCTGAGCCGCATAAGCAAAGACACACACACACACACACACACACACACATACACACACACACACACACACACACGGATTCCTTTTTTATTGCACATGTCTCAGGGCAGACAAAACACAGAGGGGACATTTCACCAAGCTTTGATAAAAACAAGCACTTTTAGCTTCAAATGCACATGAACGCAACACACACACACTGCAGAACACACACGCACACACACACATGTTTCTGCAACACATGAGACATTGTGTAAATTTCCTGCTAAGCTAATTTTGTCTTCTGAGCTGTTTTACTGTAATCTCTTTGAATTTCTCACAGATAAAGATAATTCTCAGCCCCTTTCTTGGTTGTTTTGAGGGAGTTTCATTTTTATCTAATGTTTGTGAGGGTAAAGCAATTTGAGAAACTTGTGTTTCTTTTTTCCTTTTTTTTTTTTTTTGCACCAACTATGTATGACTTTTTGAACACAACTTAATATGATGTTAACATGCAGGTCCTGATGTTTACTCAGAGTTCCACTCATTTCTTACCGATGTAAATAAAAACTACATCTTCTCATCTTGTTGTTAGTGATTGTGTTACAAAGCAACAGCAGAGCTTTATTTTTCATTTGTTAAGAGTCTAACTAGAACAATAAGAAAACTGGGGCAAAACTCCAGCTTGGAGAAGAGGAAACAGCAAATCAGACACTCCGAAGCACTCCGCGGTGTCAGCCTGAGCATTTTCCTGGCTGGCAACAGTCAGCTCCACAGAATCAGCTGACATCCGCAGTGAACAGCCGCCGAAAACCAGAAGCCATAAACAACCAGACTCAACACCCGCCCACAGCAACGCACAGCACCTCGGGTCGCTAGGGGGCACTGCTGAGAGCAGCCAGTGTTTACCATGTTCCACATACCTTAGCCAATAGGCTTATGTACATTTTAATATGCATGCGCGTGCGTCTTTGTGCGTGTTTGCATGTGCGTGAGAGAGACATGTGCGTCATAAAAAATATATTCAACCCTCTTGGCACAAACTGCGTCCAACACGTGACAATAAGTAAGCCAAAGCTAATTAGAGCCCATCAGCCAGCTCTGGATGTGATCCGTCACTGCCTGGTCAGAAGGGCCTCTGAGTGATGAGAACGCTGCCTATCAGGGAGCAGTTTATCACAACACACTGGCACGGTGCTGCTGAGAACGCAGCCATGGACGCACAGAGCGAACTGGTCAGCTTTACGCGCAGGTGCATGCGCCCACCGCCCAGGACTAATGACACAAGCGCTCCGGGCGTGTGCAGGTCAGGTCAACAACACAGGATGGACACCTTCAACTTCTGTGATCTTACATGCTCACATCCCTCACAGCTCAGCAATGAATGAGACTAAATGGCCAGAGGGGGATAAAACAAGCCGCTTTAAGAAAAAAAAGTGTGTAATCTTACCTAAGCCCTTTGGTTTGAAGCGTCACATGTGGTCCAAAACAGCTGAGGGGGGGTCACGATGTGGCGAGAGGTGGAACATCAACACAGCGCGCATCTCTCGTTGATGAGGCGCTCACAGAGCCGCGCTGTCTGTCTGCCGGGGAAAAAAGACTTTTCTTGCAGGCTTGCTTGCTCTTTTTCTTTCCCAGTCGCGGTTTTATTGCCTCCGGAGGAGGGGTGGCGAGGGAGGGGGGGATAAACGCAGGCAGAAGCTGGTAGAGGCGGCGACTGTCCCGAAGATCCCAGAGGCAGGAAGTCGGAGATATCGGGGGAAAATCACAAGAGGCTGCGACCCAAAGTGACCGTGCAGTTTTCTCCCTCCTTACAGTTGGAATAAGAACATTTAAGGAGGATTTTTGCGCTCGTGGCTAACAGTCTGCTGCTGATTCAAGGCAAGGAGCAGAGAATAGACAACAGCATAAAGTTCATGTTCATAGAGCGTGCGCCACGTGGCTCGCCGCAGCCAATCGCAGGAAGGATTCAGTCGTAAACTTTTATTACTCAGCTGTAAATTTCTCCCTTTAACAACCAGGAATGTTTGCACCCATCTTTTACTTCCCTTTTTTACGATAGAACAAAACTAAAAACGGCCTCAGACAACATGAAGCAGCGATATTCCCAATGTGCCACAAATCAGACGTGCGCCAAAATATGACAGTTCCCCTGAGTGACAGCTCGTGCGCTATGACGTGCCAAAAAAAAAAAAAAAACAAACAAACAAAAAAAAAACAAGAGGAAAAAAATAAACAAACATGTATGGGTTAAAAAACGATGAAACGAAGATAATTACCTTCATTAGGCTAAATACGATGATGATTCTATTAAAGCTTCATGGTATAAATGTCAAGTTCATCAGCTCCAAACATCCAACACACGAGGTGAACCAAGTAATAAAGCAACAATGATGCCAGGGATGACTCAGTGCGCCTGGTAAGTTTAGCAAACATAAAAACCAGCAGAGTTTGAGTCTTAAAAAAGGGATTTAAAACTGAATTATAAACAATGTGCATGTAAATCTGGCGCAAACTTTGTGCGTCAAAATATACAAACATCAATGGAATCAAAGGAGTATGAGTTTTTATATTATATATGTAACAATCGTTGAATCTATGTGGTAAATAAGCAACCAATAGCAAATCTAAAATCCGTGTGAACACATAGGAACATAAATAAAATAAACAGAATAAATCCTTAGATTTGTGTCCATCACGCAGGTTCACGCAATTTCAACAACACGAATATATATTTTTTCTATGCTGTTAAAGGCTTATCTTTAAACATCTAGACAAGAAGAAGAAAAAGGCATCCTGTATGATGACATCTCCCTTCTCACATACCTGAAGACATTCGTCACATTATGATGCTGCGTCCTCCAAGAGGCCGTGATCTCCAAACTGAGCCACAAAAGCTGCTGCAGGCCCACATGAGCCGTGTCTTTACACCCCAATAAAGTTGACTGCACTAAACTTTATTGGTAATATAAACCTCTGGTAGTAGTACACACACAAATTCTCACACACAAAGAGAGTCAGGGTGCAGGATAATTGTCATATAAGGGAACAACAGGGATTTTTCGAAGTCTGCGCGCTCGCAAAGGGAGAATGCATCATTAAGGGCGTAAAGGAAAGGGATGATATGAAAGTAAATAAAACAAAGTGGCAATATGCAAAACTGTATATATTACTGTTGCTATTCTAGCTTTAGTCTGAGCTCAAATAAAAAAAATAAAAATTAAAAAAATAAAACAACTTGCGTCCTGGAACAAGTCATCTGTTTTAACGTCTCTGCCTCAAGGCCTGTTAGGTCTGCTTTGGTTTACCAACATATTTCCATTAAATTTGATTTTATAAACGTATTTAGATGTAGGGCTTTTATGTTGAAAACTAGTTTGTGTCCATAATACTGAACGTGAAAAACAAAATTTGTCAAACAAACACATTTTGGCTTAGAACGAAATAAAAATAACAAAACAACTCGGAACAAATAAGTAAAAAAATATATATCAGCAAATTCTAGTTTTCTCCTGCTCCTCTTTATTTTATTTTATTTTATTTATTTATTTAGGGAATAACGGTATTTGAAGAGTCGGAAGCATTTGCATCCATAGCGCCTCGTAATGACTTCAGTTTATTCAAATCCTTCCTAACTGAGCCGAGACAACGCGGAGCAGCAACACCGACACTTTGAATAATTCAGAAACCCGAGGAGAAAAATATTAGCTCCAGTTTGGTGAGGCGGCTTCATTATTTAGGAGGAATGGGCGCAATATAGTCGTATAAAACAAAAGCAAACAGAAAATACGCATCACGTTTTATTGAAAACGGCCAAATCTGGTGCGTAAAACCCGGAAGGAAACGGTTTGGATGAGCTGATGCGCATGTTCCGGGGAAAAAGGATCAGATTTGTATACGAACAAACATTCTAGATATAAACACAGAACACTGCTCACAGCTGTTGTGAGACTTATTGCAGTTGGTTTCATTTAGCCTCTAACTTGTTCCAAACCATCATGAAAAGCTGAGCAGAGGAAGAGGACACCAGCGGCTCTTATCTACCTTCCATTTCCTTTGATTTCATGGCTCTGATGCTTTCAGGAGGTGTTTTTTTTTTCTTTTTGCACACCTACAGCTTCACACAACTCCTTGCACAGCGCAGACAGACGTAGCCTCCCTCATGCTTTGCCATTACTTAGTCTGATTATTAACACCGCAGGTCAGATGTTTCTTCATCTCATCTGAGGCAGCCCTTATTCGTCTTCACAAAATTCATTAAGAAAAGTCTCCCTGAAGAGATGAAGTTTTTTTTTTTTTTTTTTTTTTTTTAATATTAGCAGAATGAATCAAAAATAACTCGGGCTGCGTGCTGTGAGTGAGTCCCAGCTTTTCCTTAAAAGGTACAGAGAGACATCTGCAAATGCACATCTGGCGTTTTCTGCCTGTCCTTTTATATAATAGGTTTAAAAGTTTAATTAGGCTGGTGAAGGTGGTGAAAAGGCTTCAGTCCAGCTGCCGTAAATGTTAAGAGCAGCTCAAACTCGCACTGATAAATAATAATAATAATAAAAATATAATCAAAACAGGTCTTAAAGGAACTGTTTTATGTGTTTTTGAAGGATGCGTTTGGAAGTCAACACTAACAAGTGTTTTTTTTAAAGCATTTGTTTTGATATTAATATTAAAACAACTAATTACGATTATTTTAATTGATTTTATTCATTTATGCAAATAATATTTTTTGATATTGATGAGTGACGTATTAATAAATTACTAAATTTATACAAAAGTGAATAAAACAAAACAAGAAATTCAATGTGAGCCATCTTTTATTTGTGACTTTACATCAACGATGGTAGTGGGGGAGGGAGAGGGAACCACACACATTTTTTTTATTAGATTTTTTTAGGTTGTATTTTTTTTTTTACAGGAGAAACAACAAGAAACGAGCATATTGTTATAACATCAATATATAACAAGACGTACATAAAGATTATATTCAGTGCAAAACAACTACGCTATGTCACCAGCACATGAGAAATAAAAAGTTCCCTTAACTTTAAAATTGTTGTAATTGTTGCAGGTATCGTCACACGCAGTTCAATGTGCGTCAAATAGGCAGTTTTAGTTGTTGGGGAGGAAAAAAATATATAGCTTGCAATCGAATCAGAGCGATGCCACGCATGTGTGGAATAGAAACGGCGCGAGGACAAGGCTCTGAGTTTATAGGTAGTGCTGTGGTATACAATCTCAAATCAAAAATAATTATAATAATAATAAAAAATAGTATTAGCTTGGCTTAATTGTCTTCCCAAGACTCACAAATTGTCTTCAACAAGTGTTACACTGTAGATTGGGTAAATGCTGTACACATTAACTTAACATAAGGCTGAAAGAGAACACTTTAAAAAAAATGAAAACCATATGAAATCTCTATATTCAAGAAATCTCTATTGCAATTTCCCCAGGTTTAGGTAGCATCAAAGGATTTCAAACAGTTGCATTTCCCTGGTAATCCTAAGAAGAAAAACAAAGATGGCTGAGGAGGTTCATTTTGATGTCTGGGCCATTTCACATGAAACGAAAAATAGAAACAGTAACGATTCTAAGAAATAAAAAAAAAACATTAAAATGTGTTTACACGGGCTGGCATGGCCTGTGCAATTGCTGCGATGATGTTTGAACACTCATTACTAAGTTACAGGCCTACATTTTGTTTTCCGAGTATCTGAAGTGAAATTATATTTTTTATTTTTGCTCTAAATGTAGGTTTAAATCTATTTACAACACAGATCGGCATTTTGTTCCTACTAGGTTACGTTTTTGATACAGAAAGCAAATTTAGGGAGGAAAAAAAAAAGCTATTTTTCATCTAACATGCGTTTAAATGATCCCTTTTTGTGCAAGGGTGAGAATTCTGCTATAATAGATTTAGCTGCAAGTGTGTGCAGCTTCTCCAAATGTGTTTTAGAACAGAACAATGGAGAGAAAGGAGAATTTTGTCTATTTATGACAGCAATATTGGTGGGATTCCTGTTCCCTCTTGACAAAATGGAAGGGTAGTCATAAAAATGACGCGCTCTCTGCCTCCTTGGGACTCCTCGTCTGTTTATGGGACCTTTCTTTTTCTTCTTCTCTTTTTTTTCTCGAGCCATATAACCATAAAAAGGACCATAAAATCACTCCTTGCTTTCTTCTTTCTCTTCCGCTTCTTTCTCCTCTGCCTCTTCCCCTTCACCGTCCTCGTTGCCCTCTTCCTCGGCCTCGGCTTCAGCCTCTCCTCTCTGACCCGGAAACTTGTCTTTGTTGTTCTCTTTTTTCCACTTCATCCTCCTGTTCTGAAACCAGATCTTCACCTGCCGCTCGGTGAGGCTCAGGGCGTGCGACACCTCGATCCTTCTCTTGCGCGTCAGGTAAGGGTTGAAGAGAAACTCCTTCTCCAGTTCAAGAGTTTGGTAGCGACTGTAGGTTTGCCTCCCGTTCCTTCTGCCTGGGGCTTGGATGGGGAAATAAAGCCAGAAGTTAGCTGCAGTGCCCCTCAAACACCATCATTCCTTTCAATAGATTTTACATTAGCAGTAAAATGTGTGCCACTACACATCTTCTCACCACAACGCAGTCAAGTCGCCATAACGCACAGCAAATAACAGTCTTCTAAGTGGCAATAATTGACACTCATGCCTGTGCCATTTAGAGGAGTGATCTGCAACTTTTACATCTGCAAAAGTGTCAGCTTTAACGTAAACTCATATTTATTTATATATATTTTTTTTACTGTTAACTCAATGCACACAAAATATATTGTAAACTGGGAGCATATACTCTTATTTGTTTTATTTTATTCTGTAAAACATATACTGGAGACTTTAAGCTATCTTTATACACACAGGAGAATAAAATAAAGTTTCAATAAAGATGTTATAACCAACGGATGGGGACACACTCATGATAAGCAGATAAAGATGAAGCTTACACCTGTGTACAGCTAATGTAGCCTGATATCCAGAACAGAACAGTCCAATATCCACTGAGCTTTTACGATTATGGCATTTTGAGTCTGAGCCTCATTGGGCCTGTGGGTCAAATTACCCCTAAAACCCGGATCCTGGGTAATCGAGGTGTCTTTGAGCTCACCCCTCCTGCCAGCCTGCATGCTGATGGTGTGTGTGTAGGATTATGATTTGACTGATCCATTTCTCCCCCCCTCGCCTCTATCACGCGTTTAAGAGTTTTTGAAATATCCAAAGGAACGATAATTGACTTCAAAGAGCTTATGTTATGAGCTGTGATCTGTAATTCAGCGGTTTGAAATCTGCCCTGTATAGACATGTGCTGCAGAGGTAACAGCTGCCTGCAGCTCAGCCTGTATGTGCCCCATCATGTTCTCTCACCTATTCTGTTTCATACTTTAAAAACACACTCGGCTAGAATGTATGCGCAAACATCAACACACACACTGACCCACACATGAATGTGACACAGAGACAGAATAAAATAATAATAATTCTATGTTTCTGACCGTGGGGTCTCATCCAGGGAAACATTAGACTGGGAGAGGAGTTTTGATTTAAGTGGCCTTGTCCTTCTCCGGGGTTAGAGCTGCTCGACGATTTACAGTCTGGGTATTGCGCTAGGCTCGCGTCTTGCTGGGCACCATAAAGCGTTTGCCGCGGAAGCGCTTCATATCCATAAAATTTTGTTGCGTCTCCGTGGCAAGCCAGGGCGCAGGGGTTCTGCTGGTATCCCGGGTTGGAGATCCCCGTGGTTCCGTGGTGGAAAAAGTCCTGTACATGATGGGACGGGTGCTGGAAGCCCGTCGCGGCTGCTCCGGGTCCGTAAACCAGCGTGTGGCTGCGGGCGACGCTTTGTGGAAACCTGCAGTCGTAGTAAGTTGGTTCCAGTGACTCGCTGCCTTTGTATTTAGAAAAAAGAGGGTTAACAAAATAGGAGCTCATGTTTGGTTAGCATCAAGCAGTCGGGCTCTCTCGCGCAGCTGAATATCTTCCTTTGGGATGATGGCAGCCTTTTGTTTAGGGTCCCAACTCGCGCAGCGCGCACAGACAGACAAACCGGAACTAGGAGAAACGCTGCCCCTTTGGACAATCTACGGCAGCTCACTCTCTCTGAGCCGTTCCTCTCATCGGATTGCTCTCGCAGTCGTGAGTGAGTGTGCGTGTTTCTCCCGCCCCGGGTGGCTGTGCAGTCTCAAAGCCGGCTCATGCCATGTGCTTTGGATGTGCGTTGGCTAATGTTGAAGCTGGCTTGCTCCGGCGGCGGCACAGTCACAGACGCTGCTCTTTTCTGTCTTTTTCCTTTTTTTTTTTCCCTCCTCCACAGATTCCCACCCAACAGCCCCCACCCTCCTCTAGCAGCCCCCACACCTCCACCCCCACACCCCACCCCCTTCATCTTTCCGTGACCGGTCAGACGTGGGCCCTACGTATATCCACCTTGAGAGGAGCTTCACTAATCATAAGCCCACAATCTAATCGGCTGTAAATATGATCAATGTTGTGTTTATCGCAGAGAGCTTTGTTCAAAGCTGACCAATGAATTTAAATAGGAGCTAGTTTGATGCATCGTCGCTCTACTTTTAATTTACAAGCCTTAATGTTTTTATGCGTGGAGGCTGCGAAGTGTTCAAAACAGGAAATGATTCCTTTTGTGAATGGATGAAGCTGTTGCGAGTTGTCGTGTTGGAGCACCTCTGCGCGTTGCTACAGAGCACAACTGACCTTTAATTTGCTCCTGCAGGTCAGCAAAACATTTGCGAGGATCACAGAGTGGCGAGGCAAATCACTGAAAGACAAAATCAGCTCAGAATAAAGAAATAGCGAGCCTCCAAGTGAAATTGCGCATTTTACGACTAAAATCGTCTCGTGGAGAGGACCCATTGCAGCCGACCCGCTCCTGCCAGGCGCTGTAAAACACGCAAATATAAACACTACCTAAAAATACTTTGTGTGTGCCACTAACTGACCCCGTAAAACCGACGGAGATGAGCAGTAAATCTCCCACACGGTGCAGTTCATAAAATGTGGGACGCTTACGCACGATTCAGCCAGACTCTCCAAATACACCAGCCCATGGCTTTTATAGGATTACTGACGTTATATCAGCTTCA